AAATTGGTTTGCAAACAGAAGTGTTTGGCAAAATTTTGTTTCTGTTTGTGAACTTTGCATCAGGTGACAAACATGATAAGGACCATCTTTCCCACACGAACAGGAGCATACTCCATAACTGTGGAAGAAATTAAGTTTGTGAAATGAACTTAATATACGTACTGTCTGGGCTTCTCAATATGCCCAGGATAATTTTATATCTTGGTGTCTGAAGCAAAGATTCACAGATGATACAGACAAAAGGGGAGCCAGAGGGAACGTCACATGAGGAAATTTTCTAAGTGTAGATGATCTTAAAAGAATCATGCATTCATCATTCTACATTCCACGGGATCTGTGAAATACACATGAAATTTCAGGCATTCAGGAAAATGGCGACAGGGTAATGACACAAACTAGACCTCTCCCTAAATTATAAATTCAATGATAATTATGCACTTCAGAAAAAAGAGACTTCATCAAACTTGTAGAACAGTGATACCAAAATTCTACAGGCAGCAGACTGAAATCCATTCAGATAGTTGCACGGTCAGAAAGCACTTTGGTCCCAGTGGGAAAGTGGGGCGGGGGAGTTGTAAGAACAACAGTTAACAGACAGATTGGAAACAAGAAGAAAACAAAATTAGAACCCAAGTCACAGGGTGGCAACAGAAAACTCTTGGTCTAAAACATACAGGCATACTTCAAAACAAGGTCGTTGTGAATACCGATATTTTATTCTTTATAAATTTAAACTGGAGTAATTAAATCATTCTGTGAATTATTTATGAAAGCTAAACATTCTTCCACAAATTGCTTGTATTTCATGTAAATATTTGACTGTTTGTATCTGACTGTATTTCATGTAAACCTGACTGTTAATATTTATTTATTTATTCATTCATTGAAATAACCCATGTAGAGAATTAGAATCACAGACTATTTTAAAGGAGCACTTCAGTAATTTTCAGCGTTTTATATTTCCACAAGCATTCAAATCAAATTAATAATGGAGAACAGTGGAAGGTCTACTTTAAAAGCAAAATAATTATTTTAACTATATATCCACATTAATTAATCAAACAAGCTTTTATTCTCTTGTGTGGTTTAACAACAAATTCCCGTACCCATTGTAAATTGTTTATTTCAGACTCCTTCATGTAAAAATATCCTTTAAAATAACTTACTTTTACCTATTCCTTATCCTTCTGGAGCGCTGCTAGCCCAAAGGTACTCTGTGGGAATGGAGAAAGGGGAACTCTTCCTCCCCACACAATACTACCCCGTGCTGGGAAACTGCAGTAACCATTCCATTCACCAGGGTCTGAAGAGTGAGCGACTGTGGGTCTCTGGGCCAAGAAATGACTGCTCACGTGTGGCCAACACGATTCTGAAGGTGCTCACACCACATGCTCGGGGAGAAAGTATCTGCCATCTTTCAGTGCCAAGAACGATCCTGTCTATCACCCAAAGATGTCAGCTACCAATCAAAGTTACTGAGCTCCATGCCAGGGGTCATGATCTTAAGATCATGCTGGCAGGAATCAATGACAAAAAACTGCTCAGCAGCTATTTTACAAGGGAAGGCACGCCCCTTCCAAAGGAGGCAGCCGAACACTGCGAGATCTTGATGACTGCCTCCTCATAATGACCTGTAATATAAAATCTCCCATAGTTAACTGAAAAAAAAAAATATAACGCCGTATAGGTTTATGCCTATACAGTCTGCGAGCCAAAATAGAGCCACACACAGGCAGCCTCAAGTCTAGGCCCACAAAGACCCCTTGGTCAACCATCTGCCCACTAAGCCCGTACCTAATACAGTGCTCCAGCAACATTAGGAACTTCCTTGTATGAGGTTCAGGAAAGCCAGAGGGAGCAGGGAGTGGAACATCACCCAAAGCAACAGACATACGCTGAGGGAAACTACCCATGCCCAGGAATAATGAGGAAATTAAAGTGTATGAAAATGATTGTTGATTATGGAGTAAGTCCACATCAAGATTACCAAAGTCTGCATAGAACGTGGCCTTGCCTGGACATGTGCTTGTTGGTCAGTTCTATTCTGTCAACACCGATAAGGACACCAAGTCAGGGCGCCGCCTCTTCCTGAGTACTTTACTTGTTCACCTCTTTTTAGCCATTATCACATGGGATTGGGACAGTGCAGACCCAGGAGACAGGAGACAATGATGTTTATTACATTTAAGGTAGCAACTAGTACCACTCCTGGCACAGAATCGGTACTAAGTGGAAGATAAATATTTCTCCAATGAGATGTGAGGTGCCGTGTTTAAATCTGGAGATGGATCTCAAGATTTCTATATTTTGGAGAGAAATGCCAAACTCTCAAACTTGGCATTCTCACAGAAAAATTCAAAATTCAAAGATCTCAGAACTGGGGATCTAAGTAGATTGCAAAATTAAATAACAATAATAATTTTTTATTACCATTGCATGACACAGTGTGAACACAAGCGTATGAACACACAGTGGACTGACGTATATGGAAAACAGAAAACAGCTCACCCCAGCTGCTGCGTAAATAAAATTCTGTTCTGTTATTTATGATCCGCTCTGTCTTGTTTCTACGAGATAGCAGGCCAAAACTTAAAAAAAGACCAAACAAGATGAAAAAACTAGTGAATTTCTTCAGAGGTGAACTAGCAGTCAGGTCCTGGAAATACTTTACAAATTCAAACCTAGATTCCGCAGTGACATATTGGTTGGTCTGCCTGCTCAAGACACTAAATAATCTTATTTTTAACAAATACTTATAGAGCTACAAAATATCGAAAATGTTTGCTTAGAGCGTGCTGTAAATTTCTTTTTTTTTTTTGGTTTTTCTCCGGTACCGGGAACCGAACTCACAACCTTGCACTTGCCAGGCAGGCGCTTTGCTGCTGAGCTAAATCCCCAGCCCCTCATGCTGTAAATTTCTTGCAAGACTCATATCAATATTCCTAAAACTCATTTTCCTGTAAGAAAGTTTCCCCATTTAGCAGGACCAGGTTGGTGTGAGCAGAGGTGGAAACGACAGAGAAGGTGCAGAGCAGAGGCCCGGGGACGTGAAAACCACCTGCAACAGGGCAACGGCAGAAAACAAGGCCAGAAGAGATTGCATCTAAGTAGTATAGGTGATGCCAGGGCTGCCAAGGCAAACCCATCATGATTTAGGAGCAGAAGAGGTCCCAACAGAATTTAAGTGATCTCCCAACAGGGCAACACCAGAATACGCTTCTGGTCAGGAAAGGAAGATGCGGACATTGCACGTCTCCACACCACAGAAATGGATGGATACAGATACTCTGGTATGTGACGTTTACTAAGTACCTCCTATGTGCTGGGAATCCTACCAGGGATCCATCTAGTCCCTGATGCAAGCTTCAGGATGTGTTAGTTACTTCTCCCACTTTATAGACAGGAATACTGAGGTTGGAAAGTTTAACTACACTGTCATTAAATACGTAGGTGAGGGAGAAGAGTGGGGATTCAAAAGCAGGTATTTTGTACTCCCGTGCTTAAGCTTTTAAAAACACTTTCATGAACCCTCTGTGGTTCATGAAAGTAATCAGGGGAAAGAGATGTACTGAAGAATAACGGAGAGATAACTCCAATACACAATACAGACAATTTCCAAAATATATGACCATGGCGCACGGTAAGTGATACACTGTATACCATGATCCACTACACCCCCTGCACGCAGTACTGTGCATAAAAAACTAAAAAACCCTGCAACGTTTACCCTTTCTCCGTGTGATACACATCGATATTTCTCCAAATTGTTTTTCTAGTTCATGTTATTCTATCTACTTCATTATTTTAAAAATGCTGGCCAGGACTCACCGAAATTATTTCACGCCCACTAACAGAACAGGGCTCCATGATTAAAAACTGGTGCCACGACAAAGCGTTTCTGACATCAGGATACTACTAGGCATTTCATACTGTCACCTATAACCTCCCCGTGGAGTCTTTATCCAAGAAAAGATACGGGACAGAGGAAATAAAGGGAGAGAGATAAGCGAGGAGGAGAGACCTGTCAATCACATGTCACCCACTACAAAGGGCAGTGAAATTAACGGTCTCACAACCAGACTGGCGCCACCTCAGTGACACAGCAGCGAGCACAAAAAGGCAGAGCGTGAGGACTGACGCTGGGGAAGGCTAGGATGTCTTTAAGTAATGTTCCTCTGAGCTGTCAGGGAGACATGTTTTCCAACCCTGACTTTGTGATAGAATGAATAGCTGTATGTGGTTTTTGGGTACATTTTAAGGCTAAAAGGCAAATTGTATGCCTGGTACTCGATTTACCTTTCACACACAAGAAAGACCAGGTCCCCTACTGACAACGGGGTCAAGTTATTCTCCGATCAACAGTACTTTCATTTGATTTGACTTACAGAAAAGCATGGACAGCATCACGTAAGGCAGAATGGAAGGTTCTGCTTCTGTGTGCAGTACCAACCCATGAGCTATGGGCATTCATCAACATATGCATATTAAGAGAGAAAGGCTAGGAATTTATACATGTACCAACTTTGAAAAAGTGTCAACAAAAACTTTAGTTACCATGGGAATTTCTGAGATGGGAAAAAGGGGTCTCTTCAGAGAAGTGACTGGTGCTATTTATTAATCTAGTTGCAAGTAATGTCAAATTTTAAAGTTGCTTGAAAGAAAACCACTTTTTTTTTTTTTACATCAGCCTCTTAATATGCTGAGGGAACCTGTTCCAAACGCTTCAGCGGCGAAGTAACTTAGATGATAAATGTGTTCTTCAATCTGCGCACCAGTCAAGTAGCAATAAAATCAGAATAATTCATGCAAAAATTTTCATTATGTTTCTAAACACACTTATTTACATTTTAAATCACACATTAGACAATATGAAATATCTTTCATTTAGACAGGTGTGAACTAGAAAACAGATGCATTCATTAAACATGGAACAATTCAGTGAATTAAAAAAATACTCAGAAAACTCTCTGGCTGAAGAACTTCAGCCACTGTTAACTTACTTGAAAAAATATGGCCATGGCTCCAATTATTCTGTTCTCAGAAATTGCAGTTTGAAAGCTGTCAAAGTCATCTGGATTGTAAAAGAAAATCTGCATCTGTAAAACAACAATTGAAAAATGTATTAGGGAATTTTCAGCCTACACAAAAGTAGAAAATGCACCCACAGCTCCTCACTTACTAAGATTTTGCCATTTATTCATCTATCTGTACCCTTCCTTTGCCTAAGTATTTCAGACCAGAGCCAAACAACATGTCATTTTTCCTATTATACTTCTGTGTTTTTTTTTCTTTCTTTTTTTTTTGGTTTTTCTCCGGTACCGGGAACCGAACTCATGACCTTGCGCTTGCCAGGCAGGCGCTTTTGCCGCTGAGCTAAATCCCCAGCCCCCTATTGTACTTCTGAATCGTAACCTCTTCCTGCATAACAAAAATACAGTCCTGCCACCCTAAAATAAATAACACAAATACTTCTTTATTACTTACTACCCAGGGCACGGTGAAATTTTCCTGTTAAGAAGCAAGACTTCATTGGCGTTAAAAAACTTGAAGTACAAAACTAAGCTGGTAGGATTCAGTCCCCACGTTAACATGGTAAATGGGCACATTTTTATAAACAACTTGCACGCCAATGATGAGAATTTGAAGGAGTGTCTCAGTAGCTTTGAGAAACAGTCCAAAGGGTATATTTCAGTAAATTCACCAAGAAATATAATGGTAATGATACTAGTAACACTTCACATTTTTCTACTTGCAGAGAGCCACCCTATACATTATTTCACTTAATGCTTTTAACAAGTCCTTTGAAGACAGGAAAGGGATTGCTATGCACATCTAGAAGTGAGGACGTAGTGCACCAGGAACCTGACATTAAACTGCCTAAGATTAAACAGCAGAGAGCTGAAGTTGCAGGTGCTTTGATCCCACCCTTAAAGAGCTCCTCTTACATTAGATTGGCTTGAGTTTCTTATTCAATAATCAAAACACAGACATTCCTCTATCCTGTTCCATTGATCTACACTTCTGTTTTTCTCCCAGTCTCATGCCATTTTTATTATTCTTGCTTTGTAATATAGCTTGAGGTCAGGTAATGTGACACCTCCTGCTTTGCTCTAGTTTCCCAAAATTGCTTTTCCTATTCTGGGTCTCTTCAGGTTCCATATTAATTTTAGGATTGTCTTTCTCTATGTCTGTGAAGTACGTTGTTGGATTTTTAGGATTGTCTTTCTCTACGTCTGTGAAGTATGTTGTTGGATTTTTAGGATTGTCTTTCTCTACGTCTGTGAAGTTCTGAGTGGGAATGCACTGATCCACAGAAGAGTTCTGAAGTATGGCCATTTGACCACATTGATTCTGCCCATCCAGGAGAAGAGGACATCTTTCCATTTCTTGACATCCTCTTCAAACTCCTTTTCCAGAGTACTGCAGTTGTCTTTGTAGAGGTCCTTCACTTACTTAGTTAGGCTAATACCCAGATAGGCTAATAGCTAGGTATTTCATCTTTCTTGATGTTACCATGAATGGTACTGTTTTCATGATTTCCTTCTAGTTTAGTTCATTGCTGGTATACACAAACCTCAATGAAAGTGAATATTGTATATCAAAAATGTGACATCAGATAAACAATAGCAACAAGAACAAAAGTGGAGAAAGGAGATTTGGAAGCGACAGGAGTGAAGCAGAAGAGGATTTTTAAAAAACCTTATTATGTACATGCACCCACTCCCCAAGATGACTGGGAACTGCAGGTGCTGCAGATATGTACTGAGAAAAATACATGATCCTCCCCCAAAACACAATTAATGTGATTTAAAAATCACCATGTGATCTGAATGCGTGAACACACTGCCTTGCTGTTTTAAGAAGATTCAGAGAGCACCAGACCACAGCTCACCCCTGTAAGACTTCCTGCGGGGCAGACAACAGGTCTGAGCTCTGGTGCAGCTTCGAGGCCTACCTGCCTGTGAGGCCCCCAGCAAGCTATTTTCTGAGCACCAGCTTTCCTGGAACGTGAAGCCAAGCTCTTCCATCGGCCGGGGCTGTGAGGACCAAACATCAGTGCGGTGCGCAGCACACACTGCGACCCCCTCTGCGCTCCTCACATCACCACCGTCACCGGTGTACATGAGGCTAACACGTGGCCGACTTCTTAACATTTCTACCAAGGACGGCCTCCTCCAGAATGACCCCACTGCTTACCAAAAAAAAAAAAAAAAATCAGATCTCCACCATTATTATTCTCTCATTTCCAAACGGCATGACGGGATTTTCTATAACAGACTAAAGCACCTTGCCCCAGACAGAGGTCTGAAGATTAGACATTGAACAATAAACCCCAGTGGGCAAAGCCATCTCAGTAACTAGGTGAAGTACATGCCCAAGGTAAACAGACTCCTGATGACTGGATAGTAATAATAATACTAATAATAGTAATAATGATGCTGCTGCTGCTGCTGCTAAGAGCACTATGACATTTCTTTTCCGAAGGGTAGTATCAGGTAGCCAAAATCAGGTCACTCCCAGGAAAATTCAGGTATCTAAGTGGAGGGGTAACGGACGGTCAGGGGGCTGTCTTTTTGAAAGCAATTTCTTAAGACTGTGAATTCCCACCGACTCTGGCAGTGTTTTGCAAGTTTGTTGCCTTGCAGTTTGGACAGTTTTAGACATCATGAATTTATACTGAGAAAAAGCCACTCCCCACAAGGTGTGGCTTCAAACAGTTTAATACAGGGTGAATTGCTGTGGGTACCGTGCTACCAACCCAGGAAAGAAACTCCACACAATTATATTCAGAAAATTACACTTCACTTTCCTTTGAAAACTCAGGCCCTAAATTAGGTAGGTTCACAAAAGGCTTTTATACCTCAGCCCATGCTCAGGGGTGGCACTGTTTAATGCATCTCCTGAATACTGTGTGATACAAAATACCGTAAGACCTCTTCCAGGGCATTTTCATGTGCGACGAGCTAAGGGAAAGCACTGTGAGAAAATCTGAGTTGAGGCCCCACCCACCTGGACAATAACATCTCAAAGAGGGAACAGAAGCACAGGTCAGAAAGATCGGTTTTCCCTGCTCTTTCTCTGCGTTGTAGTCCACTGCATTATGAGAACATCTGAAGCTATCCCAAGCATGAGAGAAAGTAGATCAAGTTTTGCAGAGTGAAATAAACTCTAGTGTCTTTTGTTCCTCATGAGTCACACGTGGATCCAGGCTAGAAACTTATTTTTTGGAGACATTACTGGCAGATGTTAGGAGCAGTACCAAGCGCCTTGAGCAGCCACCTACTTTCGGCATTTATTCTCCAAAGCCATACCCACGGTCCGTCCTTCGTTATTCCGCAAAGTGCACTCTCTCTAGTAACGAGGACCTAGGTGCTGCTTGCTGCATAACAGCTCTCCACTAAAGAAACTCGGTGAAAGGCAGGAGGGAAGAGCTGGAAAGCCCAACAGTGCCAGAACCTGTTCCCTGTTCTGTATCTCCTTTACCCCATTTCCCTTTTACACACTCCACAAAATTTCTCCGTGGCCCCCACTGGCTGAGAGAAAACGGGAGACAGTATGTCCTTTTATTACTCCATACTCTAGTATAATTCTAAGGATAAGGACACCATCTTCATAATGATCATGTAATTGTTAAAGTTAGCAAGTTTCACACTGATGCAATACTATTACCTAAGTCACAGACCACTCTGACATTTCGGCAAATGCCCAGGTAAATCCATTACGGAGCACTGTCTGGTTCTTGCTCTAGGATCCCATCTAGGCTCACACTTTGCAGAGTGGCCAGGTCAGGGTATGCCTGCCACTCCCACCCCCAAGTCACCTAGAACAGCTCCTCTGTCTTTGTCTCCTCTGCTGTTACGTGAAGGCCAGAGAGCAGATGTGGGAAGAACGGTTCCCACAGTTGGATTCGGGTGGTACCGTGGGCCAGGCCATGCTAGTAGCTGCCTGTGTCTATTCAGTGTACGCTACCGGGAATCACACGCTGTAGATTTATCCAAATGTGGAAGGTCTTTGCCCTGATCACATGGTTAAGCTGTCATCTGACAGCTTTCTAAACTATTTCCTTTTGAAATTAAAAAGCAGTTTGCAAGGAGATGGTCTGTGTGGTAGGCTGGTCCTCATCTAAGGCTCCCGTTGGTTCTGGCACACACTGATACCTTTATAACGCCTGTTTCTCATATGTTCACTGATCACATTCACACATCAGGAACAACTTCCCATTCGCCACACTGCATTTATGTACTCATTACTTATACCTATACGAACTTATTTGCTGTCATTTTTAATCTTATTCCATCCGTCATTATTATATTCATTACTAATGTCATTTACTTGGATCATCAAACTGTCCCAGATTTAGCCAACAGGACACTCTTCAAAAGGATTTCTCTGTCCTTCTGCCACATTCCCATCACATTTTATTTTACACACTTCTGTCTTAACAGTCACAGATGTGTTGCACCCCACCTCTACTTTCCCTGCCCTGCCCCTAAAATCAACCATGTTTTGAGTAAGTTCTGGTTCTTTTTGTAGAAATGTTATTTTAAAACCCAATAACTTTAACTCAATATTTCCCAAATACACTGAGCAAAGAATATTTTGGTTCTTTAGCAACAGTGCATAACTTAAGGGTCAGTGAGACTATTCCATCCGGGAATCTCCATGCTGAGGGAAGACAGTTGCTTCAACTTTTCAGAGGTGACGTCCCTCCATCATGCAGCAGTGCCTGGGACACACCGGTCTCCTGAACACAGACTGCAGTGACCTGAAGGGCAGCCAACAAGCCACTGACAGTGATGCACAGCAGGCCCAGGTCCCAAGGCCGAGGATTTCAGAGTCCTGAGTGAGAAGCGCAGGCCAGGATGGACCCGTCCCCACCCTGTGGCAGCCTCTGGGCGTTCCTCTGGCCAAAGCAAGTTGAGAGAAAAGCTAAAGTATCACACAGCACAACCTAACATGTGGGAAACACTTCAGAGGGGAAAGGGAATCACACTCCAGCCGTACCCACCGACCAGGCAGCACATGCTAAAACATCAGGGTAGGAAATGCCCAGAAGAATGGTGCCACCACCGAGTAATGGCAAGGTGGGCACAGG